CTCTGAGACCTGGCTGTGCAGCCTTCGGACCTGTTTTCTCATCTGTAGAGTGTGGGGACAGGACTGGAGGGGCTCTGAGGATCTCCCCTGTTAACTCCCACAAGACTGCTCATTTACGTACTGCGTGAAAAGAGGAGGCGCTTTAGGACCGACACAGTGGAGCGCGGGCTGCGGACGATGGCACCTGGGTCTAGGGTCTGTCCCCTTACTGAGGCCAGGCTGCTGTGATCCACACAGGACACTCAACACTGGCCATGCCCCGCCACGCGCATACTTTCCCTCTAAGAGCCTGCTCCCCTCCTCATTCCAGCATTTCCATCCCGGGGTGCCCCATCCAGAGCCCCAATCCTTCAGCCACTGCTTTGAGCTCTCCCCTAATGGCTCCTCTGGAAAAGACCCAACAAAGGCCCCTTACACACCCTATAAATGTGAGACATTCCTGTTACAATGGTTGTGTTTGTTACTTTTAGGGACTAGGGAGTCTGCTGGGGTTCCTAAACATTTTAGCCTGGAAGTTTCAACCCCTTCCTCTCCCAGGGAATTCCAGGAGGTGGAAAACTTTCTCAACATGCAAAGGACTGGCTCACAGATAGCAGGATGGAGGTGGAGAGACATCAGTCTTCTCCCCTGTAAAATGGGGTAATGACAGTGCCAGTCCCTTAGGGAGGCTGTGAGGATTGAAAGAGGGAACATACGTAACCGGCCGCCATATGTGCCCTATAAATGTGAGACACTCCTATTCCAGCCGCTGCTGTTCTTGTTAGGGACGGGGAGTTGGCCTGGTCCCTAGACATTCACCTTGAAGGGGGCTGCTGACGCTCCCTGCTCCCTTGGGCCTACAGGGTAGATTTGGCTGTTTTAAATTCCTGTCCCTTTTCTTTCACTGCACACTCTCTGCCCAGCTCTAGGTGACATCTGATTTCCTCCATTTGGGACATTCCAGTTTCTCTCTACACAGCAAGCTAGTCAAGTAACAGGCAGCTGGAGTGCTCATTAAGGGTCCCAGACCAGCAGAGAGGCGCTGATGGGGGAGAGTTGGGGCCTGAGGTCTGGAAGCCACACTCCCAGCTCCCCACGAGCTGGCTCCCCGCCCCCACCCTCCTGTCCTGGCTCTGACCCTCCCCTCCCAGTGGCTTGGCCCCTCAGATCTGGGCCTTCTGCTCACATCTGCCCCTGGCTTGCCTCACACCAGGCTCCTCTCCCACCGGATGCCCTCAGCCTGGCCTTCCCTGCCAGCTACCCCTTCCTCCAGCCTCACAGATACAGTCTTGCCCTCAGCACGCCACTTTCCCCACTGGGATGGGTGGTGTGCACGTATGTGCCCCTGGATTCCTGCCTCCAGGCCACTGCGCAGGCTCTGTGCCTCACCAGGACTGCCCTGCCCAGGGCCCTTCTTCCATCCTCTCATCCTTCAGGGAGTGGCCCAGGGCCACCTGCTCCAGGACAGATTCCCTGTGCCAGGTTCCCAGGAGCCCTCTGGAAGCACTCACGGGGTCCTGAGCATGGCTTTTGGTGGTGGCACATTTTAGTGCATTCTGCCATCTGCCATCTCCCGAGAGCCTCACAGCAACCCCAAGGGAAGCAGGGCCTGGGCTTAACAGCGGCGGAAGCTGAGGTTCGGGGGGCGGTGTGCCTTGCCCGAGGCTTTGCCATGTGCCTAGAATCCTGGTTTTGGGCCCCTACGCTCACCAGGTGCCTGTGTGCCCCTTGAGAGCAGGAGTCCTCCACGTATCATGTCACAGACCCTCTCTGTAACACAACCGCTCCCCTCTCCTCTGCCTTTTCTTTTCACCGGGGTTTCCTCTGGTCCCAGTTCTTCCTTCTCTGCCTCACCCCTTCCTCACTTTTGCCCTTTGCTCAGACCTGGGAGAACTTTCCTAGGACAGGAAGGGCCAAGGGTGGCAGAGAGACCTTAAGGTGCTCCGGGGCACCTTTGCTGACCCAGAAGCATCTTGCTCCTAGCACAGCCCTGTCCCATAGAACTTTCTGCGATGATGTATATGTTCTATATCTGTGCTGTCCAAAGTGGCAGCCACCAGCTACAGCTGCTATTGAGCACCTGCTTGAAATGTGGCTAGTGTGACTAAGGAGCCATATTTTAAATTTTATTTAATTTTAGTTAGCTTAAATATAATGAGTCACACATGACCAGTGGTTGCCGTATTGGACAGTGTAACCCTTACAGCGTCCCCTCCGGAGCCCCTGTCCACCCAGGGGATGCCTCCAGGGGGCCATTTCCACACAAACTAGGCCACCTACCCCGCCACCCCCAGGACAGCTCCCTCCCTCTGGCTCCAATGCCCCCCCACTGACCTCAGGTCCCATCACTGCAGCCACCATTTCCACTCACTCCTCTCTGTCCCCAGATGCACCCCTAGTCCGGGTCACAGTCCCCTCTGGCCTGTACTAGCCTCTTGTTTGGCCTCCCTCCTCTGGCTTAAGCTCCCACTCCAGGGACATCACTGCCCTCAAGACCCTTCTGTGGCTCCCCACTGCTCTGACATAGATCTAACTGTCTCTAAGGTCCTCTTGACCTAGGCTACCTGTCTCTCTCCAGCTAGGTCCTCCACAGCTCCACCCTCCCAGCCCTCCAGCATCTGGAACTTCCTTCAGTTCCCCAAGGCAAACCCTTCCCTCTGGCTTCTAGCCTCCAGAAGCTGTTCCCTTTGCCGCTTAGAACAAGGCCCTGACACTCATCTCCTTTTGCGTGGAAAACTCCTATTCACCCTTTAAGTCTTTGCTTGAAAACCATCTTCCCAGGAAGCCGCCACCATCAGGCTGTGATGCACATTAACACATTCCCAGGCCTCCTGTGCTGCCACTATCGCAGCATTTTTCACACGACACAGTCACTGCTGATTTTCTTCTTTGTGTCCTATTTGCCTGTAGGTTTAGGAGGGCAGAAGTGCATCCCCCACAATGCCTGAACCACAGCTGGCTCTCAGGAAACATATGCAGAGTGAATGAATGAGAACGGACAAAGGAAGGAGGGGTCACCTGGTGAAAAGAGCACTGGAAACTGGCTCAGGAGCCTCAGGTTCAAGTCCTGGATCTCACTATGCAGCTCTGGGTAACCTACGCCCCTCTCTGGGCCTTATTTCCCCCATCTGCAAAATGGGTTTCAGTTCAGATGCTCTGCAGACAAGAGGTTTAGAAGGCCGTAAAGCTGCACATGAAGGTGCAGTTTGAAGAGAAGGAACCAGCATGTCAGGTCACACTGTCAGCCCAAGGGCTCTGAGGCCATGAGACTTGGCCTGGCTACTCTTAAGCAGAGAAAGCAAGGATCTGGGAAAGGGCTCGGCACCCTCAGGCCAGCAGGAGGGGTTGGGAAGGGAGAGGAGGGCGAGAGGAACCAGAGAAACTCCCATGGTCAGATGCTTGTCCCTCAGCAGCAAGGGCCCCTGAGATACCTGGGGGAGCCCTCACTGCCCTCACACCCTCTCGAGCACCCTGCCAATCCCACTCTCAGCCAGCAAAGGCCACCTGCTCACACTGCTGAGCCTAGAGGGCCCTCACCCCATCAGGCCTAGAGGCCCCCCAACCCCACCAGGCCCAGGGGACAGAGCCCTCTGGATTCCCTGGGGCCTGGCAGGGCATTGGGCATGAGCTGAGGTCAGCAGTCATGGGGCACCACCAGCACCAGTAACCTTGCCCGGTGACCTATCTCTCCTTGACCACCCTGGAGAGCTACTTTGGCAGGTACCGGCTCTGCCTGGCAGAAGCACCAGAGAGAACCCTGGCTGCAGGGAACAAGGGCATCATTCCAGAATGGCCGGAGCACCCACTACAGGTAGAGCTGGCTCCACTGCTTGCCATCATCACCGCCGCTGTGCAAGCGGGCAGGCATGAGGGTATTCACCCCAGATTGCATAGCTTCTAAGCAGCAGGGTGGGGCCAAAACCCAGGCCTGCTGGACTCCACCACGCTGCTCTTCACTGTTCTACACACCACCTCTTACTAAGAGGCCCTCTTCCAGTTTTTCCCATGGGAACATTCCATGTCCTGTTCCTGTTCCAGACTGCAGCCCTCACCTGTGGGTCCTCTCCTTCATCTGGGCCCTGGATGCCCTGTGCTGTCCAGACTCCCGTAAGCCACCAGGCCTCAAGCTCTCACTGACCAGCCTTTCCTCTGCTGGCACCAGGGAGACTGCAGGTCCCTCCTTCCTGGGGAGGGTGGGGTCTTTTCATGTGCCTCCAAGATTGCCACGCCTAAGAGACACTAATGGCTTTTAATTCACTTGTGTTCAAGGATATTTCAGGAATGGGAAAAAGCTCAGCATCCTTTTTCCAGAAAAACACACAGACACAAAAGGTTGGGGACCATTCCAAGGAGCAGGCAATAAAACACTCGCCTCAAGAACAAGAGGGTATGGGCTAATTCGTGCCAAGGACAGCAGAGCCAGGGCGACTCACACCAAGGCCCTAGCCTTCTGGGGCAGTGGGCAGGGACAAAGACACTAACCCCAGAAAGGACTGCCCTCTCTGGTCTCCTCAGCCCCGTGGATGACTCAGTCCCTCAACTCTCTTCCCAAAGGAAGGTGGCAATAAAAGTCAGGCAGCACTGACCCCCAGGGATGACGGATGGGGAGGGCCGCGGGCACACGTCCCGCCGCGTGGGCGCTGAGCGCTGGCTCTCACACTGCCCTGGCGGGATGTCGGGAGGGAAAAGCGGAGCCCGGCCGCCTCCGCGCACCTCCGCACGCTTTGCCTTTCGCCACCTGCCCGGCGCGCCCAGGGCGCTCCCAGTGTGGGACGGACGTGGGGGCGCCTGCCGCAGGCGGGAGCTGAGGGTCCTCGCGCAAGCCACTCGGATCCTTCGTGTCCCTGGCAGGGCAGCGTCCGTCCCTGTCCCCTATCCCGCCCGCAGACTTGTGCGAGTCCCGCGGCGCACCGCGCGGCGTGGAGAGCCAGCGCCAGAGGGCACCGGCTGGTGGAGAGTTTGGAGGCTGCGCGAGGGGGCGCCGCGGGGAGGGATAAAAGCCAGCAACAAAGAGCACAGACCTCGTCCAGCAGTTGGTTGACTCGTCCCAAAATAGCCGTCTCCATCTGCTGCTCCCCTCGCTCCGCTTCCAGGCGCAGCACCCGGGCCTGCAGCTCGGCCGTCCGAAAGTGGGCGAGCAGGCTGAGCGCCAGCGAGCAGACGGCCAGGACTAGCAGCCCGCACGACCCCGGGCTCGGCAGCCGCGCGCAGCGCTCCGCCGGCGCCACCGCTAGCGCCACCGTCTCGGGCGTGCCCAACTCTCCAGGGCCGCGGGCACCGGCGGTTGCCGCTTTGCTGGCGCGCTCCACTACCATCCCCTCGCTTCTCGAGAACCAATAAATAAATAAATAGAATAAATAAAGGCGAGAACCGCTGCCCAAAGGTGCGATCCAAGCCGCGGGGCAGGGGGAAAGGGGTTATGTCGCTGGAACAAGTCCCTTTCCTTTGCTCCCGGCAAAGAGGATGGAAAAATTAGCAGCAGGAGAGGGAAAGCCGAAAAAGCACAACCAGCGGTAATCGGGGTACACTCGGGTGAGAAAAAAGTTACTTCGAAGTACGTTCCAAGTCCAGGAAAGTTAGGGGAATCTGGCCGACTCTCCTCTCCGCCCCGTGTTTCCCTTCAAGTATCTGCAGAGTCCTCGAGTTGGTTCTGCGCTGTCGGTCCTTCTTGGTGTCTCGCGGCCCCCGGGCGAGCCGGTTTCAGTCGCGGGGCGAAGGGGCGCACATGGAGGGCCCCATAGGCAGAGGTGGGTCGTGGCCACTGCCGAGGAGCGCTGGGGCCGATTCCGGCGCCTCTGTAACTTGACACACTGGCCGCGCCGCACGGATCGGATGAGCAGTCCGCGCTACTTCCCAAACTAATCTCTCCCGCCCCCTCCCTCCCCTCCCCTCCCCTCCCCTCCCCCAGCTCCTGAGGGCCGGCTGCTTGGGTTTGTTTATTTATGCAAACTCGCCAGGGGTGCGGGGCGTGGTGTGTAGGGCCCGCTGCCCCAACCGGCCGGCCCCGGGAGCCCCTCTCCCGCGCTCCCTGTTCCCTTTGAAGTGACACTCGGGGTTATTTATAGGCAGGAAGGGCGCTGGGGCTTCACTTCTCTCCCTTTCTCCATTCACACCGAGGGTCCACTTCGCCTTCCGCCGCATGGGGCCAGGCATCACTGCCTTTGGGATCCTCCAAAGTGCCCGACTGAGTTCTTGTCCGGCATCTAGAAGGATCTCCACGTCCTGCGCAGGAAGATCTGAATCCCTTTGGCGGCCATTGCGACCCCATTCCCCGCCCCCCCATCTCATCCTCTTCCTTTCTCCTCAAACCCGCTCCACCTTGGGCTCTGTATCCCCTGAGTTCTGCAGCTCCCCCAGGGCCTTTGCTGCGACTCCTCCGCCAACCACACCTTTCCTCCGGGGAGAAAAGTCAGCCCTCTAGGGGGCAGCAGAACTGGCATCCTTTTCTCTCTTTCAGGACCAAGACATAACAAGATACAGGAGAATAAAAGACGAACAGAAGCCTTATTCCAGGGTGTCGGATAGGCAGGTCAGTCTTGCTGCCTGCCAGGCCCGATCTCTTCCCTTCTAGCCCACCATTGATCTGAGACCCATTCCATCCCTCTGCTGTCAGACCAGCCCAACCCTCCCAGCCATCAAAGGCGAGCAATTCTCACACACACTCATACTCCATCCTCCTTCCTTAGGGCTAACTCTGCTCCCTCCTGCTGTCACTTCCTATGCTCCAGTAGAGAAAAGCTGCCCCGAGGGCATTTTGTAGTTTCCTCTCTTCTCTTGTCACCTCTCCCACTTTAAGTAACATTTGTATCCCAAGAGACTTTATCTCCTGTGCCTCTTGACATTCCTGCAAATGAGGTGGTGGGACTGAGTTTACAGAGAAAGCCTGCTTCCTGGGAGCCGCCAGCAGGGGATAAGACTGGCCTTGAAATGTGCAGTGGGGGTGGGAGCAATAGGAGTGTTGTGATTCCATTTTATAATAGCAGGGTGGGCCAACTTCACATTTTATATATTGACCTGATTTGGCTTAATATATAATAATGTGTCACATTTAATAGAGTCGCATAGTAACACAGTACTTTTATCACAAATAATAAATGTCATAATATTGCCTGCTGGGTCAGTCAGCCACTAGGGAGGACGACAGGGATAGAAGGTGATGCTGAGGAAAAGGCTGGTGGCCAGGGGTTCTGGGTCAGTCCCAGCCCTAGTATTTCCTTGGTATTGGCCGTTGGGTAAGTGTGCCTCTGTTTCCCTACCCTGTGATGGGATGTCTCATTTGGGCTGAACAGACGTTCCTGAGAGAACACAGTCGTGTTGAAGACCACCAGGGGGCGCCGGAGAATTTCTGCACTGAGAGGTATCCGCCAGGGGATTCAGGGACTTTGGGCGTCCTCCCCCGCGCCCCAGGCTAGTGAGAATGGAGGAACTGAAGTGGGGGTTGGTTTCATTCCTTCCTTGTTCCACAAGCTAATCTTTTGCCTTTCAGCACTTTAGGGGTCCTCAGGAATGCTAAGGCAGCAAAACCTAAGAGGTTTGGGGATGCAGGATCTTCTGTGACTGGGAACTGAAGGCAAGGATGCTGCACTAGCCTGACCCCAGCATCAGAAACTCCATGTCCCAACCCCAGGGGCTTCCAGGGGGACTCTGGAGTCAGAGAAGCCCGGGCATAAATCACAGCATCTCTGAGCCTCCATTTTCTCATTTATAAAATGGGAGAACTTAAGCTTGGGAGAACTTAATGAGGTAGTGTGTGTAAAGCATTTGACACAGTGTCTGGTGCATAGTAGGCACTCAATAAATGGTATCTGCTTCCTCCTTTAGGAGTCCATGGCTGCTAGTGCCAGCTAAGATACAGCCACCTCAGGGCTCCCAGTTGTGAAACAGGAAGAAAGTTCAATCCTAAGAAGAGGCAAATGCGTCACCACAGGTTCCCTTTCCCGCAGCGGGTAGCTGGGGCAGCAGCTTGCGGGAGGCAGGCCTTAGCCTCAGTGGGGGCCTCTCCCCAGAGGTCCCTTCCTTTCTTCATGCACTGCCTGAAATTCTTACCCTGGGGAATTCCCCCTTCCGGTTAAGCATTGCCCACCCCAGCAGTTGTTACAGAGTAACTGGGCTCATCTTGAACCCTCTTTCTGCAGAAGTGGAGGCTGTGACCTTGGAACATGGGGTGAAAAGACCCAGCTTTCCAGGGTCTCAAAGCCCAGTAGGGAAGATAAGATATATTCAGAAACAACTGCCACATAAGGCAGAATAGCGAAAATCCACAAAACAGCGTAAAGGCCACAAGAAGGTGCTTTGGGGGTTCCCAGGAAGAAGGGCAGGGGTTCGGTGGCTCAGGAGGAATTTCTTGTTTGTAGCAAGAAGATAGAGGGCTTTTGATGCTAACCCGAAGAGTTTGACTTTTATCTGAGGCCATGGTTACACTCCTAGATAAAAACAGGTACTCCGGGTACCAGGATGGAAGCTAAGAAAAAAATGTCCCTATGCATACAGGCTGTACTGCTCCTAAAATATCTTCTGTGTTTTTCTGCTTCCATATATTTGCTCTTGCTGGACCCTCTGCCAGGAAGTCCCCCTTCACTCACCTGTTCTCTGAACCTTAAAATCCTGCCCCTCGCTCCAAGCCCAGTTTTATGGAGCGAACCCCACTTCTCTTCTTCTCTCTCATGGCTTTGACAGTGTCGACTTCCCTCTTCCTGAAACCCTCACCATCCCAGCTCCTGAGACTCCACGGTCTCTCTGGCCTGATTTTCAGTCCTCCCTGAAGACTCCTTTTCCTCTCCCTGTGTCAAAAATGGTGCTCACATCTCCTGGACTCTGTCACGGGTCTCTGCTGGACAGTTCCACCCACGACTCTTAACCTGGCTGCACATCAGAATCACCTGTGGAGGCCACAGGCACGCAGACACCTGTCATTTTATCTTCCCTGAGCCTATTACCACTTCTCCTCATAACTCTGACTCACTTTCCTTTAGGGGAACTTCTTACTCTCAATCCATGTGGCTCTGATGGGTTGACCCCACACCTGGCTCTAGGGTCTGTGAATTAGTCTAACCAATTAGCGTCTCCATCTCCCCTGGCTACAGTGATTGAGACAGAGATGGGCATTTGGCCTAGTTCAGGCTAATGAGAAGCAGGTTGGAATGATCTGGAAGACGCAGTTATTTCTTTGCAAAGGGCTTTCTAAAAGAATATCAGCTGGAGCTGCAGGGGGCATCTTGCCACTGTTGGTAAAGGTCTTGCCTGAGAATGAAGCCAACACGGAGGCAAGCAGAGGTGGAGAGAGACTGAGTCCTGAAGACATTATTTAAACTCTTGGATCAAACTGTGCCTGAAGCTCATCCATGCCTGCACTTTTCAATTATAGGAGGTATTTTTGCTCAAGGCAGTTTGAGTTGGGTTTCTTCTCTTGCAAGTAAAAGAGCCCAGAGTCACAGATAGAGCCTCACCCCATCTTACAGAGTCAGAATCTCTTTGTGGTGGGAGTAAGGGGCACAAGGAGGCCCACGTTCCTGTCCTGTTCATAGAAGTTCCCCAAGGGATTGAGACGTACAACCGCGGTAGAGGGTCACAGCACTGAGCAGCCCCCTGGGTGAACTCGTCCCTCCCAACTCCAGTTTCTGTCTCTCTGAAGATGAGTCCCCCATACAAACCCACAGCCCCGTCTCCCGTCTCCCGACACTCCTCACCGTCTCTAGCTGCTTCCTGGCAGCACGGTTTGGAGCTCCCCTCCCCCACCCCGGCTCTGCCTCCCTTTCCTCCCCTTGGTGTGTGGCATGGGGATCATCCTGTGGCTCAGCCTGGATGCCTGTCTTCTCACTCACCCTCACCTCCTTTATCCAGTTGGGACCAAGTCTTGTAGGTTCCACTGCCTCCGTTTCCTTCACATCTGTTCCTCCTCTCAGGTTTCTCCCTCCTGCTGCCTGCCCCATGCCTAGCATTTAAACAGACCCAACTTTTCTATGTAGTAGCCCTGAGTGTGGGAAACCTAACCCAAGGAGGCCTGGCCCAGGGACCTGCCAGGATGTCCCCCATGCACCCCACACTCTGTGTTCCTTCTTTCTCTCCCAGGCTTTATGATCACTAGCATGACAGCCCATTTTCCCTGTTCTGCTGCTGGCTCTTACATGTAGTGAGCAACAAGATAGAAGGGACCTGGGCCCCTGGTGGCTTTGTGGGGATGAGTTGCCAGATAAGTTGAGACTTTCATGTGAGTGAGAAGTAGCCTATCTCATTTGAGCCCTTGTTATTCTGGTCTGTCTTGTGTAGCCTAAACCATGTCCTAACTAGGACCTGTGTCTGTCCCCTCCCCGAGGCTGTGAGTTTCTAGAGAGCAGGGGATGACTGTGTTCATCTCTCTATCCTCAGCACTCAGCACAGCGTAGATGCCCAAGAAATGGCGGTTTGGATGAATGAGTGAGCCAATGAATGAGTGGATGGATGATTTCCAGTTCTGGCTGTCTCTCAGCTATACTACTTAAACTGTGCGTCTACTTCCTTTTATGTAAGATTTAGAGATTGATTGGCAAGGAAGGGAAAAGAGATCTGGAACAGATAAGGAAGTTCTCAGCTCAAAAATTCATCCATTCAGCATATCTTTATGGAGCACTTTCTAGTGTCAGGCCCTAGCTGAGCTGGCATTGGGGCCACAGCCGTGAACAAGGCAGGCTAGAGGTGGGGACCCACAGAGATAAGTGCTGCCATGCGGGACAGAGAGGGTGCTTGGGGAGTGCAGAAGAAGACTCCCTACTGGCCTTGGGGGATGAGACCTGAGAGAGTTAGTCAGGAAAGGGCTGCAGGGAGGGCATGCCAAACAGAGGGCTCTGCCTGTGCAGAGGCCTGGAGACGAGGAACGGCATGGTGCTTT